TCTCTAACTAGGATGCCCTGGAAACCTGTAATGCATAACTTACTGCTCATCAGTAGAATATTTATACTGTTTGCAACTGGTACGTGTGGAGTTTACTTTCTATTTCCCACATCTCCATTTTATTTTGTGACTGTATTGCCAGGGTGTCACTGCTCATCAAGGGTGATGGGCTGAACAACAGTTGGAAGCACAGGACAGCTCCTGGAGCTCTCCTGCAAAGGCACTGTCTTCACTCATTGAAATGCTGTCAACAACATGCAAGGGCTTGCTTCTTCTGTCCTTTTTCCATAAGGCAATTACTGTCTTGATTTTAAGGTGGGCAGTGCCTTGACTGTCTCTTTTCCACAAAGTTTTTAAATAAACTTTCCTTGTAAAGTAAAGCATAATTACCATTTCTGTGTCATTCCTTCAGGTCTAAGTGGGTTTGTTGCTCATCAGGTGTTGTGTTTGTGAAGGAGAAATCATAATGCTATGATTAACATCATTCTATGAGATCCCACTTAGAGAAGTTTCTGCCTGCAAACAGGACCATTCTCATGACCTCAGGCTCCCATGGATTTCTCTTGATAACACCATCTAATCGGATTTAGACTTTAATTAAACAGCTGTCACTTTGCTTCCACATTCTGCCGCAATTTAATGTTGAATTAGTTCCTAAATTAGTCATGGCTGAATGCTTGCCTTCTTACAATTGAGAGGTTGGATGAACACGAGCTTTGCTCTTCAGCTAAATGCAAGCAGCTATTGCTCAGATTCTGTGCTCTTGCTCCCACTGACATTGGTGAAAGTTCCCTGACTGCAGCAGTGGTGGGATGAGCAGTCAGATTCCTGCAGAATCAGCCATAGCTCTCCCTGATTTCAAATGGCTGGAACACATTTATTTTATGAATGTCATTTTCCCTTTCTAGAAATGTATTGATGTTTTTGAATAACAATTCAGCTGAATTTTCTGTGAGGCAGCCCAATGAGTGCAGCTGTGGAAGGAGATGTTTAGACCAACATTACTGCTAGTGGACTTTAATCAAATTAACTCTGATGTAACCAAAACCAGAGCATGAGCAATATCTTTGGTACTTCAAGTTATGACATCAGGGTTAGCCAAAATTCCACCTGGCTCTAAGCAGGAAAGCTCTGATCCTTCCTGTAGGTTGGTGATGTTTGCCTCAAATACCGTGTATTGCTCTCACTGAACACAGGTTGTAATGTAATGTAATGTAATGTAATGTAATGTAGAGTCTGACTCCTGCCTGCCTCCAATCTCACCATTTTTCTTTGAGATGGACATTAATTCATTTTCTGATTCACACAGAGGTAAAATCAGGGTTTGTAACTGTGGTAGCTTGCTACAGTCACGCATGGAAGAGTTCCAAACAATTAGACTGATGTAACCTACCAGTTTTAGCTTGTGAGCTTCTTGATTAAATCTTTTTTATTATCTCTCTTGTCTGTGGTGCACATCCAGAGTGCTCAGTGTTACAGAGCAGACAGACAGACCACTCTCTTTAAGCTCCTTTTATTTTTATGAATTTCAATTCAGCTTTTAGAGAGTCTTCTTTATGTTATTTAATATATCCTTCCTTATGTTATTTAGTTTTCTGCCTGACAGCTCTTGTGTGGGTGCAGATGCAGGCATTGGGTCAGATCTGAGTTACATTAAAGCCTTAGGCTGTATTGGAGCAATACAAAGGAAACACAGAGGAGGCAGAAGTTGTGCCACAAGGCTCTTCCATATAGAGGGAAATAGGATGCTTGTTACTCTATTTTAGTTCTAAAGAAAAAGGCAGAAGAATGAAGACTCAGTTCCTTGATCTTGTTTATTAAAGATCACAGATGAATAGCACAGGGCACCTACAGACCATATAAGGGAAAGGACAGATTTGAAAATTACTTTTACCATGCTATATAGTATACTAATTGTTTGTATTTCAGTATTTCCAAACGTGTGTAATAGCAGTGAGTTGTGACTGCTATCAGTGGAGATTAAATACAGCAAGCTGAAGTTAGGAGGCTACCAATTTCTTTGTAATGCTGGGACTCTCTAATGCTTGCAGTGGTCCTATTTAGGAAGATATTGGGTAACATTTCCAGTGTATTTTCCTCCCTTTGTGCACATCATGCATCTCACATTCCTGAATGTGACTGGCCAAAGAAGAGATGTAAAACTTCAGTAACCTTGATCACAGCAAACCTCCTTTAGCAGATTTTTGGTGCAGATGCAGCTCTGAAGTCATTAATCAAAACAAATTCATTCATATGCGCACAACTTCCTTTAGTGCAACCATTAGCAAAGGACAGAAGATTGAGGTTTTCTAATTGCTGATAATGCACTAGTAGTCAAATTTCCTGTCTTCTCTATAGAAAGGTCTTGAGAAATTTCTAAAGGTTTTTCAAACCTTTGTAGCAGTGAATTTATATCAAACCCACTTAGAATTGAGATACACCGATAATGACTTATTGGAAAGAGAGAAACAGAAGTGACAGATTATTACTTGGCAATTGGTGCAACAGTTCTGCACTAAATAGTGCAGAAAGCAGAAAATCATTCACATTTGCCTATCAGGTTTTTCATTTTAAAGGTATAGGTCATTTTCTTTTGTCTGGTGAGGATGGATCATATTATTTGGGACAGATGAAGCAGAATAGGCTTATTTAGGATATAAGATATATGGGTTACTGTGTTACCACTCAGTTCTGAAAATTGGAGAATCATAACAAAGAGAGGTGGAAGGAAGCACGAGGTCACCTGCTCCCTTTCTTCTTCTACCCTGCTCAAAGAACAGATGTTATTTCTGAAAGATGCATAGTGTGAGCTTTCTTCAGAATTCTTTCATGATAGATGATGTCTTTTATTCTGTCCCAGACAATCTATTCCAGAAATTCTCTATCATTATTTGTATAATAAAGACTGCCTTAATGTCAAACAAATCTTCCTTGTTGCAGCTTAAGCCCATTATTCAAGCCCTGTCCATGAACATAGAAAATAGTTTATCCTTTCTGGTTTTCAGAAGACTTGTGTATATGGAGACAGTAATCTTTCTTCAGCTGAGAAAGTCGTTATTGAAGATTTCTCAAAACCAGACACAGTCATTTAGTTCAGTCATTTAAATCTTGCTAGTGCTCAGCTGAGGAGCACTTCACATCTTACAGGTGATATTCCTCTTACAAAGTGTTGTTGGTTTTGTTTTGCTCTGTTTTGTGGGAGGGTTTTGTTTTTTTAACCAAAGCAGCATGCAGTTACCAACTTGTGACATAGGCAAAGCTATTTCCAGTGGCTCCCAAGCACTTTGTTGCAAGCTAAAGCCAGATAATGAATTTGCTCTGCTGCTTGTAGCAGTGAAGTTTCATTTCACTACATAATCACATTTTGTTTTTCATCTTCTTCGTAACAGTGATGTGGTGTTTGTTTCTATTTGTTTTGTGTGCCTGATTTTCTTACTTTTGTGTAAAACTTCATGAATTGCCATTAAATACAAACACGAATGGATCCCCAAGCCAAAGAGCATGTTTTATATCTGAAGTATTTCTACTTGTGGCATTGCTCTTCTTTTGAACCTGTCCCTTTAAATTAGATTTCTCCACTAGTAACTCATATGAGTTGCTAAAGACAAAGCGGATCTGAGTAGAATCGTTTCAAAGCAGAGCTGAGATAGCCTGAAAAGATGTCCTGTCATTTCCACAAACTCTCCTGCTGCTCCTTCACCCTGCAGTCCTTTGTTCACACTGTTTAACACTCCGAGTCACAAAAAATAAGGCACTAAGGGATGGAGGCAAAAGATTAATTTCAGAGGACGTGCAGCATTTGCAGTAGCCAAATATACAGCAGAAAATGTGTTGAACCTGATTTTGGTGAAGCTGTGCAGGTTACTACATGCTTGTTGCTTTGGAAGTCTGCTGATAGAAGAGCAGCTTTGAAGGTCAGGGGGTTCTAAGAGTGACCTTAGACTTTCCATCAATGGTATTTATGTCTGGCTCTAATTTACTGTGTTGAGTCTCTCTGTTTGCATAAATGACTTTCATTGAACAGTCAACATCCCTTTTTTAATACTTTTCTTTTTAATATTTGGTGGGGTTTCTTATGTGAGCAGTAGGAGAACCTGAGAAATAGCAAGTTGCAAGATGAAAATAAAGTCTGACCTAGATTTCAAGCTCACTAAACCTGAATTAAAGCCAATGTCAGTAGTATCAATGCCCCGTTTTCCTGCACTGCTGTTGATTTTGCTGCTGAGAATTTTGATGAATATTTTATTCACTTTATGGAGTTGGAATTTCAAAAAATTGGAGAAAACTTTGAAGTTCTTCCTGCTTGAGAATCTTGGGATTACAATGATGCTGAAACAGTCCAGCAGTTAGAGGAGTTCAGCTTAGATGATGGTGCATCAAAAGGCTTTTGTATGCCACGACCCAAGTGCAAACTTCAGATTTCCATGTTATTTTCCCTGCAGTTAATAGCATTTGTAACTCCTTCTGGATTCCTTATATTTCTTCATTGGCCATATCAATGGAAATTAAATCACCTTGAAACAGTTCCAGATACAGAGTTCACAGAAAGGCCGTGTCTTTGCAATGGGCTTCGATTCTGAGAGGAATATTTTTACTTCCAGTACTCTTGCAACCTGTTCCAAATATTGACAGTCAAGCCTAGTTTTATAATAATCCCAAATGAACGTTGTAGAAGACAAATATTGGGAAAAGCCCCACATTGTTAAATGTAGAAGCTACCTGTGATGTGTGCCTGCTTGGACTGAACTGAGCTGCAGTCATTTTGCTTGCTGTTTAACAATGCACAATACAGGTGACTGTGTTTATTGAACAGGTGAAATATAAAAGGGCTTTTACTGCATATTACCAACCTGTGCCTAATAAAAGGTGTGTTTAAGTCATTAACTCCTGAGAACTAATGCATCCCTCTTGAGTACAAGTCCTGCTGAAGAACTGATGCTTGCTCTTTGGAAATGCTTTCAGCCATTTCTTAACAGTGCTGTGCTTTGTTTTGTACACAGGATACAGAAATTGTGAACACCGCAATTCTCACAGGAAAAACTGTGGCAGTGCCCATCAAAGTGGTCTCCATTGAGGAGAACAGTGCTGTGACAGACATCTCTGAATCAGTTGAGTGCAAATCCTCTGATGAAGACGTCATCAAAGTAAGCTCATGCCCCCCTGTTGGCTTCTGAAACTTCACATCTTTTTATATAATAACAACCTGGGAAAAACACTCAATCTGCTCCTGCAAATTAATTGTTCTTTTGTTTCAAAAGCACAAAGACGAGGCTTTTAAGAAAACAGAGATTTAGGTGCATCAGTACAGCCACCACACTAAGTTTCAATAACGTTTCAGTGTTTAATTTTTGTGTTCTAATTTTAAAGTTCTTTGTCATGCCGCCTCAGGTCCTCTGTGCACAGAGTTCATTCACTGCAAAAACAGCTCTGCTGTTAGTTCTGCTTCTCCAGATGTTCCTTATTACCTTGCCAGCTGTGATTATCACCTCCACAGCTGCATCAGTGGAATGGATTGGATGTGTGTTCCCCAGTAACTGCAATACAAAGTTATCCTGGTGAAATGCAAGTTCTGCTGAATTCTGTTGTGAATTAAGAAGTTGATTCTGCACAGAAGTGGCTAGAAAACACTTACATGACCCAATACATCAATTTAGCACTGGCAGCTTGATGTCACAAAGAAACAAACACCAGTGGTGTGGTACTGTCTTATGGCAACACAGCTACTTCTACTGTGACCGTAGTGAAAGCCTGAAGGGAATTTAAGGGTGTGCAGAGTCAGCACAAAGACACACAGCACAAAGTGCTGTGCATGAATCCTGTTGCAGCTTTGCAAAATGAGGTTGTCATAATTCATGTTCTTTGAGCAAAGGTGATTTTAGCCTGCATCCATAAGGTCTTTGGATCTTTGGAGGAATTTATTGTCTATGTGACTTTCTATCAAATGGGCTTTATGAGGATAATCTGTAAGTGTCTTTAAAATGCTGTCAGCTCTCCTGGATGGATAGTACACACACAGTACTGCCACATCACTGAGCTTGAACTGAGGATCAGGTTGGATATCAGGAAAAGGTCCCTCATCAGAAGGTGGTGGACATGGAACAGGCTCTGTAGGGCAGTGGTCAGATCACAGATCTTCTGGAGATTAAGGAGTATCTGGACAACATTCTCGGACATATGGTCTGATTTCAGGGTAGTCATGTGTGTTAGCAGGAGTTGGACTTGATGTTCCTCTTGGGTCCTTTCCAACTTGGGATATTCTATGGTTGTATGAAAAATAGACATTCTTAGAACTAATGAAGCTGTTGTAATGAGAAGACTTGTACAGAGATAGCTTTCTGCTTCCAGTGGATCTGCCACAGCCAAGCAAATCTCTCCACTTCGCCAGAGCTTGATGTATTCCCATATATCAGATGCTTAACAGAGCTTTTTCCTGAAAGAATTCCTATTAACTTTTTCCTACTTACATCTGATTACCCATCTAATTACAAAATTGTAGCTGGAATTTAATTTAAGTATCATTCTGATTGTAACCTCACTGAGAAACACATGGGAACTAGGACTGAGAAACTTAAAATACAGGACAGCATTCAAAAATTAAATAAACTAAGTGCAGAAAGACCTACTTTGATCATGTAGACTAGCTCTCTTGCTTAAAGAGCTTACAGAATTTCACCATGTAACTCCAGCCTCACAGGAATTTCTTCTTCCGAAGAGTGAAAATGACTACTGTTAAGATCTTCTTGGAGACTTGCTATATATCACCAGATAATGCATAGAAAATGGCAGCACAATGATTTCCAAAATAAAAATTCATCTGCAAAGTTATGTTTTGAGCTTTATAGCTTTGGAACATATTGATCAAGGAGAAACGGAATTCCAAAACCTTACAAAAAGGAGAGTGTTCTTCCTGTAGTAATTGCTGTACATCCTGAATTACTGCAGTTCTCCAACCATTTGCTTGGAAAGAATGGGTTTTTTTAGCACTATATCCTTTGATTAGCACTTGGGATCCTGCTGTGCTCTTCTTTTCTGCAGAAATAATTTATCTCCACTAAAAGGATTTCTTAAAATGGAGTCTGTTTGCACTATTGGAACATTTCTGAGTGGTGTCTAGAAGCCTCCCTCTCTAGCCACTCTGAAGTTAAAGTGAAACAAATAACTGGAGGCTAACGTACAGTGATTATTGGAATTGACTAGAGAAAATTTTCAGGTGTAATTTCCTCTTCAGAAATGTTCTGAAATTGCTCAGATGAATAGGGAAAATATCTTCTGTATATTTAGAAATATAAGAGGAATCCTTGGAGGAATGCATCTGTGAAATAAGAATGCTAACTGCTATAAATCATGCAGCAAGTTAAAAAGTAGATTTCAACGCCATGCTTTAAGCAAAAAAAAAATTATCATCTCATCATAAAGGAATAGGTTTTGGTCTTTTAAATCTAGAATGTTCTAGTTCCCATGGTATCTCTTTACACAGGGAAATGAAGCCAAACTTCATTTGGAGTTGGATTTTGAGTTAAACTAAAATGTCTTTACGTATTCTGAGTTTAAAAAATATTCGGAAAGCTTCACATGGAGCACAGAAGCATTCCATCCTAAATTCCTTTTGAAATTCTCAGTTAAGCTTTTATCATAGAATCATTGAATGGCCTGGGTTGAAAAGGACTACAGTGATCATCCAGTTTCAAACCCCTGCTATGTGCAGGCTCACCAACCACCAGACAAGGCTCAGAACTGCATCCAGCCTGGCTTTGATTGACTCCAGGGATGGAGCATCCACAACCTCCTTGGGCAGAATTTATACTGAATTCTGTAGGTTTATCATTTTCCTCTGTAAAATACTCATCTGAATATCCTGTTGGGAGTTACCATTCTTTTACAAGACGAAGTCTAGTCCTAATAAACAATACCTCTTTGTACAAGATCATGAAATCCTCCACAAAGGTGTGCATGTGTCTACAGTTAATATTCCCAAGCATCCTTGTCATAGCAGAATCATCTGTCAAACAGATAAGTGTCCATTTTATGGGTCCTGCAAACAGCCTAGAGGTAATGTTTTTGCCCTGCTACATGGCCATCAGATAAAAGCTTATTTGTATTAATTTTTACGGTGCCTTCAGTTTGGCTTCTGTAACATTATTCTCAGTAACAGAGCCCAGTGGAGATTGAAAGATAAGATATATCTGCAAGTTACAGGTAATAGTTTCCCCAGTGATAAGCTTGGTCTCGAGGCAGCTCAATGCATTGTCTGCATCCTGTCTTAATCTGCTGACTATTACTCCTTTTACTTTTTTTAATACCTCTTGCTCTCGGCTCAGAGCAGCACTCTTCTTTACTTCCAAATTTACTGTTGATTTCCTGACCTTTAAAAGTCTTTGAGTGCTCTAGACCTTCACACAGGGGTCCAACCTTTAAAAGAGGACAAAAAATTTATTATGGTACTAAAAATCAAGCAACGGCCAAATTCTGCTTTGCTAAGATGGAAATTACTGGTAGGATCCGTGTATTTGTATTCATTAACAGTGATTGCTGTTGCATACATAGGCTCCTTTTCATCTCTTAGAAATTCAAGTGGAATGTGGCTGCTTTTGCCAGAGCTTTTGTGTGGTTTGCTTGAGGGCAAACACTGCTCCGGGTTCCCAGGTCACCTGGCTGCTGGAACAGATGCGGTTTCATGCTGTGAAGAAGAGCAGAATTTCAGGAGACTTGCATTACCTTGTGACATTTCCAGACTGAAAACCCTTGATGCTTACAAGCTTGTGGATGTGGGTTTGTGGTTGTTTTTTTCCATGAAAATAATCTCAGTTCAAAATCTTTTGTGCTGTTTGTATTTCAGGAGTCATTTCTGGGCTAGCTTGTATCCCACTGCTACATGAAGTGATGTTACACACATTATATCATATTTTTTATTATGCTGCTATTACTTATAAATGGTAAATTGCGTGTAGTAGCCTAATACTCTGGAGACCTTATTTACTAGTTTCCTTTCATTCTTAAATGACATTAATAGCTTTAATAATGTCTTAAGCTCAAAACATAGATTCACATAACAGTTGCTCAAATATGCAGCTGCTATGGCCATCAGTGAGAAGAGAAACACAGTTCTCACCTTTAAGATATCCCTGGGCAGTTGTTAATGCACAGTGGGCTCTTGTTTTCGTTGGAGCCGACAAGCAGAGACAGACACTGACTGCAGGTAAAGCCATTGGAAGAATGCTAGGAATTTTTCTTACAAGCCCAAATCTGGGACAGCGTGTCACAGCTGCCCCTTTCTTATCACAGTAAGTTGAAACAAAATCCCAGATCAAAGCAACACTGGACTGTTGGGGGCTGAAAATTTCGCTGAGGGTTTTTGTGGTTGAACTCTAGTATTTAAAAGACTGGAAGCAATGCTGTTTGCAAAGCTTTGAAAGCAATAGTGATGGGACTCACAGACAACTGCCCAGGTTGTGGATCTGGTTTAAAGGCTCAATGCAGTATTCATTTACACACATGAATAACTTTGCTATGAATACTACTAACATCAGGGAACCTACTCATATGAAATTGTCATTTAGGGCTCACGAATGTTTCACAGACTTTGCCATTTGTGACAGAAACAGTTCATATGATGGAATTAATTCTGACTAAAAAGACACAGCTTATGTTCAAATGTCTGCTGTTCATTTGTGTTCCAGTCAGATTAAAGACTATTCTGGATGCTTTATGACGCCTGATGGAGGAAAATCTCAGTTTGCCAATAAGAAAGCTGACAGATGAACATGGGGTCCTAATATGTAAATAAATAGTTGTATGCTAATTGTAGTAACTTAATTTTTAAACATTATGTCTGGCACCATATCACACACAAAACCTGTTTCTCAGAGAAGTCATCGGCATTTGTTAAGAAGATACATATTTAGAAGACACTTTTCTATTGTCTTAATATACTCAATCTTAAATAAATAGCTGTGCTTCAACCCCTTCAGTTCATGTAATCATGGAGTCATAGAATGATATGGGTTAGAGGGGACCTTAAAGATTCTATGATGCTATGATCATTTAGTTCCAACCCCCTGCCATGGACAGGGGCTGCTGCTCAGATAACTGCAAAGAACTGTCACTGCTTTCCACTATTAGCAAAATATACAGTGTATTTTACAAG